GTGACCTCAAAACATCAAAACATTTCTGGTGTCTGACAACCATCCCCCTGACAAAAAACCAGGTTAGGTCTGCTAGGAATGCTCATTGGCCTTGGAGATAAAAGCATTCCTGTAAAGATGGTGTTCTTCATTCAGAAGTCTATGGTGTTCAGTTGCCATAGCTGAACTAGAAATAAATTTTAAAATTACATAAGTATTTAAAGGTCCTTGGACAAGTTCTGTCCACAGCCCAAACATCTGTGTCTGAGCCTGTGTGCTAAGAGGGAAGGAAGCATAGAAGAGTGAGACCAATGAACAAACATAAAACACTTGACTCCAGGTATGTACAGACATAAAGATATATTCTTGGCTAGGAAGCACAAATCACAATAATCTTGCAATTTTTCAAATAGTGGTTATTAAATTTTATTGGGCGTTTAAAAGAATACATCGGTAGAAACAGAAAATATTTCGAAAATATGAAAGCCCAGCTGCAAACCTAAGAGAAAGAAATGGGGCTGGGCTCCTGCTTTCCATGTCTGGATGAACAGCACCACCTGGAGGTCATAAGGAGCAAGTGCAGGCTTCCACACATATTTAGGAATGGATTGAGATGTCATTTCCCTGTTAAACTTAACCCATTCTTCGGATTTGCCTTTTAAATAATCTTGATTAATATTTGTAATGTTTAACTGAGAATGTCCTGACACTGTAGTGGAAAGAGGTAAAACTACATATTCTTTATAATGCTTCTCACAAGCTAGGTTTTTGCCATTAAGATTTTTCCTAGATAACATTTTAAGATTCATAATCCTTTAATTCAAGCATTAGATTACCTCAAAAACATTATGAGAAAAAAGAAAATGGAATTGTGGATAATGGTAAACAAAAAGACAAATAACACCCAGGAACACAAATAGTCCCTTAGAAGGGGACAAGGCAGAGATGTGGGCATAGAGTCCCATAGAGTCAGATCACACTGTCCTGCCATGCTCTGGTGTGTTGTCAGCCTGTGTAGACAGAGCTCAGTCTAACATCCTACACAGTGGTATATCATATGGTTTCCCAGATTCATACATGCTTTCAAAAGCTTTTTCTATTGAAAAACTCTCTACTGTACCAAGTCTCCAAGGACAATCACACCCAGGGATACTTATCACAACCAGATTTCACAAATGCAAGATTTCTCACTTATGTTCTTTTGCAAATCTATCCCAATCAGTTAGATTTGATAAAACTAATGAGAAATATCATCTTAGAGACATCTTAATCACAAACTGAGACCTATACAATTTCAGTCGGCTGAGCTGGGAAGTATAACGTAGTTTAACATGCCTCCAATCCTAGACTCCAACTCTAAGCTGATTGATAATATCACTGAGGTTTCCACTGGTCATCACTCAGAAGATTTTATTCCAGGTGAGGCGAAAATATGTCCAACAGGGAAGGTTTCACGAATTTCATACAAGGTATTCCCTTACTAAATAAATTTTCTAGTGATCTGCCAAAATCAGCCTTTTTTTCCCCCCATATTGCAACTCTTTCTTTTCTTTCTTTCTTTTTTTTTTTTTTTTTTTTTGAGACGGAGTTTCGCTCTTGTTACCCAGGCTGGAGTGCAATGGCGCGATCTCGGCTCACTGCAACCTCCGCCTCCTGGGTTCAGGCAATTCTCCTGCCTCAGCCTCCTGAGTAGCTGGGATTACAGGCACACGCCACCATGCCCAGCTAATTTTTTGATTTTTTAGTAGAGACGGGGTTTCACCATGTTGACCAGGATGGTCTCGATCTCTTGACCTCGTGATCCACCCGCCTTGGCCTCCCAAAGTGCTGGGATTACAGGCTTGAGCCACCGCGCCCAGCCTATTGCAACTCTTTCTAAATGCCAAGAATCCATGCAAAATCATTCATTTTTCCCCTTCTCTTATCTTTAGGGTATCAGTTTGTCTGTTCTTTCTCCTTTCTTGAATTTGCATAAATGAGAGTTACTTTGCTTTTCATTTCCCCCAACTACTTGACTCTTTTAAGGTAGAAGTTACACTTATTCAAGCTCAATCTTCTCAGTAGAGCGTCCCACCTGTTCAAAATATTATTCCCCAAGCTTGTTTGTCTAATAGACTACCTGGGGCTCAGAATATTGTACAAATTCATATCTGACTTGATGTTTACCATAGATTCCTTCAGATGTGTACAGTAAATCTGTGAGTAGAAGTAAGGGCAGAGTCTGTTAGAACTCTAGTCCTAAGGCCGGGCACGGTGGCTCAAGCCTGTAATCCCAGCACTTTGGGAGGCCGAGGCAGGTGGATCACGAGGTCAACAGATCGAGACCATCTTGGTCAACATGGTGAAACCCCGTCTCTACTAAAAATTACAAAAAAAAATTAGCTGGGCACGGTGGTGCGTGCCTGTAATCCCAGCTGCTCGGGAGGCTGAGGCAGGAGAATTGCCTGAACCCAGGAGGCGGAGATTGCGGTGAGCCGAGATCGCGCCATTGCACTCCAGCCTGGGTAACAAGAGCGAAACTCCGTCTCAAAAAAAAAGAACTCTAGTCCTAATTCTTGAACACTCTCATAATCAAAGTTTTGGTAAAAATTTAAGAGATCCTTTGCTGACCAAATGGACTTATAGAGATACTGTTTGTCCTCTGTGGATGCTAATCAGAAAACTAGAATATAGATGGTTTATAAATGGAAGATGAAAATAGTAGTTTATAGTACTTATAGCATTAAATAGTATTTACTATTGTATTTAGACTTGTGTTGTTATATCTGTATATGTAAATTGGTTTGGGGAAAAAATTAAGTCAAAAAGTACATTATTTAGGGAACAAGTAGTTAAATCCAAAAAGATAAATAGTGAAAGATGTTATTTGAAGTGTAACTAGTTATAAACTATTCATTATCTTCTTTCCCTTCAAAAACAAACAAAAATGACTTGTGTGTGTATGTGAATGCACTGTTGCTTCATTGTAAAAGGTTAGTCTTAGCCAAATAGTATTAAACAATATGTTAGGTGTCCTAACAGAACCATGATTATACAGTTAGCTGAAATCTGTGAGATGCAGATTAGATAAAACCCATTGGTCCTGGGTGAACATTTCTGGATGACACCTCTGTGTATCCCAGACAGATAGCAAAACTAAGCCATCTGATATAGGGGAAACAGGAGTCCTCTCACGGATTCTCTCTGGGTTTCTTCTGAATTATATCCCACCCTCACAACTTTTTATTTGTTGTACATTTCCTAACTCTTTACTTGCCAATACTAAAAAGTTTCATCACTCACAATAGAAACCTGAGAAATCCCAGTGTTCCCAACTTACAATAAAAGCTAAACATTCCTTCCCTTTAGGGAGATCTAGCTTTCTACCTCCCTTCCTGCTTGTAAGTGTAGCCTCAAGAATATAAATAGAAATCATGAAAGCAAGCAAAATTGGAGTCCACGCAATTCATGATACCTTTATCATCTGCTATTTTTCCACCTCACTCAGCCTCCTGTATCTGTGTACTCTCACCAGGTTTTTGTGTATAGTGGGCAGTGTACAGGTACTCTTCCCCCTATCATGAGATGTTCTTAGAAAGAGCAAGAAAGTGCCACTCTATATACAGACCATGTGGATGTGCAGGTATATTAGCATTTGAACACATACAACAAATATTTGATGTCTATTTTCAGAAGTTCTGCTGGCATCTTTGTGGTCTGAATGAAAGATAATAAGGCTAACACAGGAAAATGGATAAAAATATTTAAAAAATTATTTTGAAACACAGATCAAATCCTAATGCAACAAATATCAATCATTTATTCATTTATTTAACAGATATTTATTAAGTACCTTCTATGTGCAAAAAAGCACACTGCTAGACATCGTTGAAAGTATAAAGGTAAATATCATTGTGGCAGAAATTTCAGCAGAACATAAAGCATGTCTAAGCCCTGAGTTCAAGAAATTTTAAGAGTCAAAAAAGAATTTTACAATAAATAAAGAGTTGGGACACTCTCCTGGATATTGTGAAATTATGATATCTCTATCAGAATTCTGTTTGTATCCAAGTTTGCTCTCATTCTCAGTATTGGCCTATCTGCGTGTGTTTCTAATATTCCGAGTTCACACTCACTTCTCTGGAAAGCCAAAGAGGACTATGAAAATCAGATTTTCTTCATGACATAATCCAATGCCACCACTGCGCTACATAAAAAGTACATTTTATGCATATTGTACTCTCTGCTACAGGCCTAATTACAAACCTTTGAAAGCCTGCATTTTAGCCTTCATTGTTCAAACTCCTGCCACTGCATCTGTTCAGTGTCTTTCTTGTTATTTTCTACCAATGTCCTTATTGTCCCTTTCTGCTGCTTCTTCCATTACTTTTCTTTGACTCCCTGACAAGCTGTCCAAGAGCACATGGAGGGGGAGGGTGACCCAGTCCACAAGATCTGTTCTCCTGTCCACTCTCATGGATTAATGGTTTCCTTCTGAGTGAATCTTTGTCATACTCCTATTTTACACAGGCTCTGAGAGTGTAAACCCTTGTTTGGCACCATGCCAGGATTCAACCCCCCAGAAGAAATCCTGGTCATCAAACTTGGGAGAAAATGGAACAGTGGTTGCCCTTCTACCACTAGTTGTCAGCATACCTCCTACTTTCAAATCACTTGCATTTTGAAAGTTCCTTTGTGACAGTAAAAACTTACTTTTGAACTTTCTAAAACATCAATCTCCTTAAAGACTAAGAAGCACAGTTAAAATACATGCAAATGTATACTTATTGGTTTGTGAAAAATAATTTGCTAGAGGCTTTGGCTGGCTAAAATAATTTGAAGATTATTTTCACAGTGAACATTTACAGTCAAATCTTGCTAAGTGATACACTCTCACAACAAGTTAAGAATACTCATTATTTCTTTTCCTAGCCCTTTCTCCTCTACAACAAGCCTTGTTTGGTTAAATATAAACTAACTGGGTGGTTACCTTTGCCCTCTGGCAAGGCTGTCATATGCAGCTAGAACAAAAAGGAGGGCCTTCCTTGTGCCATATATAGAGCCAGAGAACAGCCACAGTGGAAAACAAGATATGGTCCCTGCCTTGTGGAATTGAAAGTCTAGGGGTGATTTTTAAATGGGATTACATAATTATAGAGTAAAATGAAGTGGAAAACTCTGTCTCTACAAGAGGAAAGGGGAAATATACAGCAGGAAGTAGATGCTGTGTTGTCACGACAGCTCTTCAAGATGGTGTTGATTATGGTCATTTTACAAATGAGGAAACTGAAGGTCAGAGAAGGTAAGTGACTTGGGATTTTAACATGGATTTCACTCCAAAGTCTATTCCTCCCACAGTACCATACCACCCTCTAGAAAGTGTTCCTGTAGACAAATTATCAGACCCAGGTAATAAAGAAGTAGTATTTACTCCCAGTTTTAAAGTCTTGGCACTGTGATAAAATTCCCTGAGTCCTAAGTCTTTTACCCTTCTCATTCACAATTTTGTGTTGTTTTTCTGAAATGGGATTTGTGAAGATACTAAATGCTTAATAAGACACACCCTTATTTGTAGAAAGCAAAGATTACTGTAAAGTCCATTTCTAATGCACAAAAAATTTAAATGAAAAATGTAAGGGAGTTACATGCTTGAGTGAGCCCATTCTACCAGTGCTCAGTTACAGATGGGACTTGACTCAGTTTAACCACACAGGAGATGGCCCCTAGTTCTCAGAAGGCAGTTGAGTCACCCTCCTGAACTGCTAATTCCTTTTGGTATTTGCTGTTTGGAAGTGTATGTGAGTGTGTGTGTATTCATCCTCAGTGTAATTCATATTTATTAGTGGACAGAGAAATTAGGTGTGATGTCTGATCCAGTCAGGATCAAGTTACCTGCTTCCACATGCTGAAGAGTACCAAAAAAGTAAACAATTTTCACTACATTTTATGTACTTATTTATTTATTCATCTATTTTTAGAGACAGCGTCTCTCTAGAGATAGGGCTAAAGTATAGTGGCACAATCAGAGATCACTGCAGCCTCAAACTCCTGAGTTCAAGAATTCTCCTGCCTCAGCTACCTGAGTAGCTGGGACTACAGGTGCATGCCATCAGACCCAGATAATTATTTTTATTTTTGTAGAGACAGGGTCTCACTATGTTGCACAGGCTGGTCTCAAACTCCTGGCCTCAAGCATTTCTTCCACCTCGGCCTCCCAAAGAAAAGAAAGCAAAGGTATTACAGGCATGAGCCACTGCACCTGGACTATTTCACTATATTAAAAAAAAAAAGCATCTGCTGTTCAATCCTTTAAACTATTATGCTCTCATCTGGACAATTCTAGCTGAAACAAATAACCCCCAGATAGTATTCACTATGTGCCAGACCTGTTTTGAGTGTTTTGTACAAACAGATCATTTAAGTCTCATAATGGCCCTGTGAGGTAAGTACTACAGTCATCCCCATTTTACAGATGAGAAAAGTACAGCCCAAGAGGTAATGAAATCTGCCCAATACCCTACAGCTAGAAGGTGGTAAACTATGAATCCAGACAGCCTCATTGGCGCCACATGAAATCATGAACAGTCAGCTGATTTAACAGCTTGACTATGTCCCTGGTAGAAATTAGAAGAAGAAAACATTTAAATGAGGATTAATTTTGGGGGCATGGGAGGGTACAGAGGGTAAAAAGTACTTATGATAAGCTAGTGTGGACAATGTTAAGAGAACAGTTGCTACAGCCAGATAAAACTGAATTTGATTCATTTAGTTTAGTTATAAACTAAATGAACACTTTAATGTCTCTCACCCTTAGTTTCTTCATCTTTAAGACAGGGACTGTAACATTCATTGAGGGGTTATATGAGGACTATAAGAAAAACAGTTTAAAGCCTGATGTAACACAGGGCTTGATAAATGATTTTTTAAAAAAATCATTCCCAATTAATAAGCTCCAATCTGATCTTTGATCTCATTGACTCAACAGTTTTTTATTGTTCACTAAGTCTACAGCACTTACTAGGTGCTGGCAATGAGATGGATTTTAAAAGTCCCCACACAGTGACAATATAGAGGGTGGCAGCAACTGCTCTGGGCATTTAGAAGAGGGAGACATAGCTTCCACCTCACGTCACTGAGGCAGGATGACAGGGGCTGAGAGCAAGAATTTCACCACCTGCTACTTATCTAGTGGATCGGGCAGGGATCACATTTCTCTACTAATTGTCACAAGTTTCAGCATAATCTGACTTAACATGCCACATTCTTTGGAGCCTATCTTTACATCATCAGTGGGGCTACCAAAAAGTAACAGCTAAAGGGCATCACGATCCGCTAATCCACAGTAAAGGTTTGTTTAGGTTCTAAATAAGCTAAGTAAAACTAGAACTTTATTTAGAAAAGTAAGTAACATTAGAACTTTATTTAGAAAAGTAAGTAACATTAGAACTTTATTTAGAAGCAAAATTATACATTGAGATTTTTACATACAGATTTACCAATACATATATTTAATCTTCCACTTTTCACATAATTCTTTATACACATAATTTCTACATAAAAGGACTAGATTTTTGCACATCAGCACTCAAATGCAATTTATCTTTCCCAACCAACTATACACTTATACTTAATGTGCCACCAAGACCCAGAGGCTCAAGACAAAGTGCTAGACAGTTAAAAGTTGTGCTTTGGAATCTACTTACATACCCACATTCCTACCTAGAAAATCCAACACAGTACAAGTAACTGACAGAAGAGGAGAGATAGTGTATGCTTTTAGAACAAAGATTGAAGAGAAAATAAAATGGTTTCAGTCAGTGTTGACTCTGATGCCACCAAAAGAAAACTCAAATACTGAAATGCCTTATGAAATATTTGACTTCTTTTCTAACAGTTGAATGAGATGGCTTTAAAATATAAAAATATTCCTGATAAAATTGTTCCAGAATAAAGGTGAACACTGCCAGTGGGAAAGAGAGAGCAAAACATGAATGGAATGGTATTATCTAAAACTATCCAGGTGGGAAGTTCTATTCTGAACTCAGCGTCATGTAGAAGGAATATCATACTTAATCCACAGTTTATTCAAATACTATTTATTCACAGTGGTTTCAACTGGGAAAAGAAGAACCCAGAAAGATTCCTAACTCTCATGATGGGAAAGAGTTTCATCTATCAAATTAGAAATTTTGAGTTCAGTTGCTCCCTATGGTTTATAAAAAAATTATCAATCACTCTAAGGACAAAACAAGATTGGAATTTACATTATCAAAGTCTAATAAAAATAGTTATGAATAAAAAAATGGGAATAAACTGGAACAAACAATAGGTTAATATTAACTGAGCACTTACCAGGCACTTATATAAACCTTAAAACAACCCTATGACATAATATTCCTGCACTCTCCATTTTATAGGGAGGAAAGTGAAGCACAGGCAAGATCAAACACTTACAAGCTCCAAACACTGTCAGATTTGAAGCTGGGGACCTCTCACTCAGGTGAAAGCCCCAAAGCTTTGCTGACTTCTTCTAGGTGAGGCTTTGCCTCTATCACCCCCAATCCTACAGAAGCTCTGGATAAGCAGATCAGATCATCTTTAACTGCCTCTAAGTCTCAACTGAGGACCTGAGATACTCATAACTCAGAATTTAGGATTATGCTATTTTAATAGTTTAATTATAGGTTTTTCATATCTAGTGTTATAATTAACAATACTTAACATTTAGGTGCTATCTACCAGCTATTCTAATAACTTGTGAAGTTATTGAATAGTCACATTTCCCTATTGTAGAGAGGAAGAGGTCAAGGCCTAGAGAAATTACATACTTTATTTAAGGTCATATAGATATTAAATAGTTACTAAATAGTTTTGGTCCAGAGTCTAAGCTCTGGACTACTGTGCTATAGTCTCTCTCTAACCAGATTTGTTCCAACAAGGTCCACAGAGAGAAAACAAACGACAGGCACATTCTCTGTTGCTCACTCCTATTTTCCAAGCTTCTATGAGAACCCCAGCTCTTGTCACATAGATCAATCATTCCTATCAGAGCCCTATTTTAGACCATTCTTCCTATACTCTGTGCTCTCTCTTTTCAGCCTTTCTTTTCTTTCTTCCTTGATTATTGCTTCTCTTTTGCCTCTTTTTTGTCTTCTCTTCTCCAGCCCCTCCTGTCCCTTGTTCCCCACTCCTCTCCTCTATTCCCCTACTTCTCCTCTTTTTTCCAATTTCTCAGTCTTTCTTTCTTTTTTCTACAGTTCAAAGTCTCCTCCAGCCTTGTTAGGGCTAGTCAATCACTTTAAATCAACATTTCTGGACACGTCTGTAAAGTTTTAGTGAAAAGGGCTGACTCCTTGATGCTGAAGTACAGACCTGAAAATGTTTTATTCCTTGTTTAGATTAGCTCTAAATGCTTTCCTGATTAGTAAGAACTCCTTGCAAATCAGGTATCTGTAACAAGAGTGCATGTGGCTTGATGGTAGTATTTGTAGAATACTAAGATACACGTGATTGTTGAGTTGTTGTTTATGTAAATATTCTAAATTTCCTCCATGGAACATATAACAAAGGTATTATTCAGTAATAACAAAGTTATTATTTTTAGAAAAAAGCTGGAATTCCATGTGTAAAGTTTATTGTACTGAATGAGCAAGAAAATGCTATGGCCAACTTTCTACAATAGAGTCTCAGGACGGCAAGTCAGTAAATGGTGACAACTCAACCAGTGTACTGTCATGAGAACCAAGAAGACAGAAAACGGTGTTATCTAAACATATCTGCTTGGAAAGGGGTGAAGGAGAAAGAAGAGTTACCACAGAGATTAGAAGTACAGACCCAATTTTCAAAAGCCTCCTAGAATTCATCTAGTTCAAAGCTCCCTCCATTTTACAGATGAGGAATCTGACACTCAGAAAAGGTAGGTAGGCTGGACACAGTAGCTCATGCCTGTCATCCCAGCACACTGGGAGGTCAAAGCAGGAGGATCATTTGAGTCTAGGAGCTTGAGACCAGCCTGGGGAATATAGTGAGACCCCATCTCTACAAAAAATAAGACATTTGTTGGGCATGGTGGTGTGCACCTGTAGTCCAACTACTCAGGAAGCTGAGGTGGAAGGATTGCTTGAGCCCAGGAGTTCCAGGCTGCAGAAGCTATGATTCACTACTGCACTCTAGCCTGGTGAGCAAGACTCTGTCTCTAAGGAAAAAAAAAAGGTTAAGTACTTGACAGATAACATTCACTCACCAGTAGAGAGTTGAGCCAGAAGAACTTATGTGTTGTATAATCAAGTAAAGAGATCTAAT